CAGTGGCGGAGTTATGGGGACTCAGACTCATTAAATTATAAAAAAAATTAATACGGCCCTACTGAAAATAAAAAATGATGCTGTTTTTAGATAGAACAGTTTGTTATTGACAAAAAGTGTACATTCACTTTTTTCCTAACTCTTATAGTTTCATGGCAAAATTGATTTTTCGGAAGGGTGCTTCTGGATTCTGTCGATAAACTTTAAAATGAACCTCAACAAAAATTTTCGAGTAGGCTGCTGTCAAGCAATGTTAATTTGACGTTTTAAATGTTATTTTGCGAATTGTTGCATAAATTATCCATTAGATAAAGCGTTCAAACTAATAATAAAAATAAGTTTAATAATGCCGTCCATATTTTCGAACAATGAATATGCTGATATGGTCTTTGTATATGGTTTTTGTGATGGAAATGCCACGGCGGCTCGCCGTGAATATGCAGTAAGATTTCCTCATCGCAGACTACCAGCAAAGGAAACATTTTCAACGACATTCAGTCGTCTCAGACAAACTGGGTCTTTCGGTATTCCAACTTATGCTGATGGACATTTTGCCCCACTTCAGGACGAAGTAAGATCGAATACTATTTTAAACCATTTCGATGAAAATCCATCCACGAGTGTCAGAAGATCTAGCTATGAGCTAGGTATTTCGTCAAGTTCCATTTGGAGGACTCTTCGGGCTGATGGACGCCATGCGTACCATATCCAGCGTGTGCAACATTTATTGCCTCAGGACATACGATGCAGGCGCGTGTTTTGTGACTGGATGTTAAACCAAGCAGAGAATGATGATCAGTTTACGCAAAAAGTAATGTGGACAGATGAGGCAACATTTACTCGAAGGGGAATTTTAAACCAAAGGAACAACCATATTTGGTCCTACGAGAATCCACGGGCGGTAAGGGAACATAGTTTTCAGCATGAATTCCAATGTAACGTATGGTTGGGTGTGTTGGACAACACTATAGTTGGTCCCTACTTCCTTCCGCATCGGTTAAATGCTGACATGTTTACCGAGTTCCTTGAAAATGGTTTTCAAGATCTGTTAGAAGATGTTCCGCTTAATACTCGAATGAACAGTTGGTTTCAACTAGATGGTTGTCCTGCCCATTTTGGTAGAGGTCCTAGGGAGTGGTTAAACATTAATTATCCCAGGAGATGGATTGGTCGTGGAGGACCTGCAGCGTGGCCCGCACGTTCACCGGACTTGACACCGATGGATTATTTCGTTTGGGGTGCTGTTAAACAAAAAGTCTACGAGGTGCCAGTTGATACCCTAGAAGATCTAAGACAGCGAATAGTCCAAGCGTGTCGAGAATTAACTCCAATTCAGTGTCGATCGGCCACTACCTCCATAATTAGAAGATGTCGTGCTTGTCTACAGTCCGGAGGCGCCCATTTTGAACAAAATATTTTTTAAATCATTTCATTTTTGATTCACTTTTCGCTTTGTCTAGGTATAATATTAATTGGTAATTTTTTGGTTGTTTCAATTTACAAATAAATTTTCATGTATTGTTTGCCATCTTATTTTATTTAAAAGTACACAACACAAGTAAATGAAGTGACTACAAACCGCCTGAAAAAATTTAGGAGTATTGCAAGGGTCGTTACGTTGTCGCATTACGACATAGTCACATTAGATGTTAGGTACTTAAATATTTCTATTGTTTTCATCAACATCATTTTTTTTCTAAAAAAAAACACCCTATATCTCAAAAACGAAGCATCTCCTAAATAATTTTAATACTATTGGTTAAACCCAAGGGAAGGGGAGACAAAAAGGCTTATTTGACTCACACATACTCGAGACTAAGACCAATTTTAATAGGTACTATATTTTTTTAGGTTTTATGAGGAACGTCTTCCTAAAGTTTATCGACAGAATCCAGAAGCACCCTTCCGAAAAATCAATTTTGCCATGAAACTATAAGAGTTAGGAAAAAAGTGAATGTACACTTTTTGTCAATAACAAACTGTTCTATCTAAAAACAGCATCATTTTTTATTTTCAACAGGGCCGTATTAATTTTTTTTATAATTTAATGAGTCCCCATAACTCCGCCACTGTTTGCTTGCGGGACTTCTACTTCTATGGAAAAATGGTATCTTATAAGAAGATGTGTCATGCCAAATTTGGCTTAAATAGCTTTCTTCATTTAGAAGTTATTTAAAAAATTCGAATTTTTTAAAAAATCTTTTAACGCCCCATATTTCGAAAATATGTGTCTGGAAAAAAAGTATATGCGGTTCCGAATCCGAAAAAATTTTAGACCTTTCTGAATACAAAAAGAAATGTATCCTCCATTTCATCCATTCTTGCGAATAATATCAAGTTTTTTTTTGCTACTCCGCAATAAATAGTAAATAATTTTGAAAAGAATTTTTCCGATTTTCATACATCGATTATGTTAAGTGCAAATTTAATAAATATTTCCTATTTTACTTCGCGACGTCTATAATGCTACAAGATAAATTAAATCAATTTATGACCGATAGAGCTGACCTTAAACCTGCAGTCTTGATTACGGATTGTGCATACGCTTTGACAATATCGTTAACATCACTAATTTAACATTGAAATCATCTTGTTTTTCCGAATCTTGGAAATTATCCATAGGTATGCACAAAAAGGCCAACAAAAATGAAATAATTAATGTTAGGCCAATTACTATTACATGCATTTTCTCTAAAATATTCGAGATTAATGAAAAAAAGATAAATATTTATATAAGTAATTGTCTGTTATATCAGCAGCACGAATTTCTGAAGGGTAGATATGTATATGGTTACTATTCCTGTGGTAAAAATTTCTTGTACTAGTGAACAACTGGATAAATTAGGTCAAGTAGATGCAGTGTACACAGATTTTATTAAGGCCTTTGATATACTTGACCATGAAGTCCTATTGGTGCTAAATGCTCTTTATAGTATGAGTCAATGGTATACGGGCAATAGCTCTTTCCTAAATGTAATGTTATGGTATTCTGTAGGAAAAAAGTCTAATCTTATTTGACTGTACTCTCAATGATACGCCCCTAAGTAGACCTGACTGCATAAACGATCTTGGATTAACTATGCTATTAGTATTTACAAACATATAGAGACTGTTATGTCGTCGGCTTTTAAAATTTACGGTTTTATTAGGAATTCTAATACTTTTGCCAATACTTTTATTTTTAGATGTATGTTTTTGTGTTTTACTCACTTCTGTCAAGTTCAACATGTATTAAATGAATATATAAAATAAATATAATTAAAAAAAGTATTTAAAGTAAATCATGCGAATATTTTGTGGAAAGATTCACTCAAAATCTTTCATCTAAATATTAAAATAAAGCACCGATTAGTTTCCATTTTTGTGCTTGTTTTTGTTTATTGTTAAATCAACTAACCGTGTCGACTTAAATTCCATGGCAGGCAACAAAAATAAAAAAATAAATTATGTAAAAAAATATTAGATACAGGTTGTTGCTCCTAGTAACATAAAATTTAGGTACTTATTTCTGTGTATACCTAGTTGAATATTTGAAATTCAATAGATAACGTTTAAGCTTTATTGTCTAGATGTTAGGTACTACTAAAGAATACACAATTTGAAAAAATTAAAAAACGGTGACAGAGCCTTGCATTGTAAATTGCAGAGCAATATTAATTTTGCCGAATTTCGCTAAAGTCTTCGAAATCAGAATAAATGACACAATTAATTTTTTTGGGCATCCCATAATTTCGTTGCTAAAAGGTCTCCAGTTACAAATTTAGCCGTATTTAACGTGTTTTAAATAGATAACAATAACCAAACGGATGTAATGTACACAGGTTTTTCAAATGCCTTTGATAAAATTGAACATGAAATTTTAATTAGAAAACTGCAAAGTTTTAGTTTGCATTCAAATGGGTTAAAGTAGATTAGGTCATATTTATTTTTATATCTAGGAATCTATCTTTAATACAGTAGGGCATACAATGGTTATAATTCTCCTATATATATATATTGCATCACAGGTTCCACAGGGATCAATTTTAAGACTCCTTATTAATTTAAGTGTTGCAATAAATTATAATATATATTGATAATTTAAAAAAAATATTTTTGATTATAAATGATACAGACAATAAGTTAAGGATGCAATATGACTTAAATAATATCTGAGATTGATGTATTGAAAACAAACTGCGTTTAAATATGTATATCAAAATGTAAGATAATTATTAGATACATAAAGTATCATGAGCCAAATTTAATTCCAGTACCTATCGGTGATGATATGTTTTGTAGCAACAAACATAGGTGGTAGCTTACTTTTAACAATCATATACCATTAAAATCAACAAGGGCTATGAAATTTTAAGGATTTATTATTTGAAACTGCAGTAATTTTACAAATGTTAATGTAATTTAAAATACTACTTGTTTGCTATGTCCGCTCTAAGACGGAATATTAATGGTACCAATTTTACAATTTATTAAACACTTGTAATCGAAAGAGTACAGAGTCAAATATTTGTCAAACTGTTTTTTGTTGGAATTTAATATTATAATTTTTATTGTTTTTTAACTTTTGATTTGATTAAAAACAAAGGAAACTATACCTGCTTGATTTTAAAAGAACTTCTTAACCAAAAAGTACTATTTTATAAAAAAAAACTAGAAAAGCAAATGTTAATCAGGCCAGTACGAATTTGCGATCAAAATACAACTTTTTATATCGTTTTGGTGACGATAATGAGAAACCTTGAAAAAAATCTATACTAAAAGCGAACTAAATATTAATATTTTTCCTTGAACATGCATCCGTTTCTAAAACAGCATGAAATGACTATAAACTCCGGCATTGAATATTTTAAATATCCAATTTCCAACGAATCGATACTGTTTGATTTAAACATCCAATTTGGTAGACGCCACGCGAATGGCAAATTCAATATTTTAACGCAATATCCGCCCGTCGATTCTCTACCTTGGGTAAATGAAATACTAAATTAAAAAAAACTTACCTCTCTGATTTCTTTGATTTTGTGTCCAGCTTTTCCGATAACGCACCCCGCCTGGCTCTGGTGTATCATCATGCGCATATCCAGTTCATTTCCGTTACTCAGTCTGGAGCCATTCTGAAAAAGAAAACAGGGCCATAAATCAACGGACGTATCACGGGTGAGCCCAGAAAACTACACTTTTTCGGGGCTATTTTTGGGTACACAGCTCGAAAGGAAGATAAATGATGTCTTCATAGGGGCATCGAAATTTCCTTTAAAACTTATTGTTTTCAGATACCGCGATAAGTATAAAATATCTTAAGAGTCGGTTATTATTCCGAAGTGTATTATCACAAAATATTTATCAAAAAATATACAGAGTGTAATAGAAAGGATATAACAACGCTTCGACCACAAACCCTTGAATAAAAATAAGACGGTTCGCGCGATAAGTAACGCTACATAGGATTATTAGTTATAAATGTCACTTAAGGGGGGCGTTTATATGCGCAATTTTTGGTCCAGCATTTTAGAAAATCTAAGCAAGTTAGAAACAATATCTCTTCAATGTACCAGTTATATAAGTGTTCTTCAGGGTATAAGAAAACTGACAATTTATTCAAAATAATAAAAAAGGACATTTTTAAATCGTATGTTTATTTTATGCTTCCTGAATTTGGCACGCATTTTGAACGTACAGAAAATCGCGTACGGTACTATAAACATAATCACACCCCGCAGAATGCCTTTACGAAACTATTAACACAAGCATTAATCACAACTATCGAGTATCGTTACACATTTGCTGGACAAAACAGGAAAGGCGCATTTTCTGATGTTTACATGTTCTCCGTGATCTTTTTATGCGAAAAATTAAAGGAAGTTGCTCTAGTTCCTCCCTGGACTTGTTCTATCACTGCATGTGCGTAGTCAGGAGGGCTGCTTCAAAAAGTGTTTAGGTTTTGAAATGTTATATCGGTAGGTCGCTGACTGCGTGGTCTTTTTTTTAAGAATCAAACGAAAAAGTGTTTAGGGTTTGAAGTTTTATTTTAGGACTCCATAGAACTTACAGCCCTTATAATATCCCTTTGAAACTATTTTATTTAACATCAATTGTTATTCGAGTATGAAGTATTTCTTGGATGTATAAAGGAAGGGTGTTATTTTTTTTTGAGGCCCCAAAAGTCCCAACCCACTCGACTGTCTCATAACCTTTATTCATACGCATGTGATTATCTATATCTCTAATACTTAATAAAATCAAGTTTTAAGGATTTGCTATTTCTTATAATCTTTGGAGCGTTCGAAAGTTTATATTCGGAAGAGCGGTTCTGTGCATAAAAATAGTGAAAATAAGTTTATATGAACATATAATGTCTAAAATGGTCAGTAATGGTACTCTACGCTTCTCAAAATATAAGAACAACATCCCCGACTCCTCAGTGATTTAATACATTTAAGTTCCAAAGATTTTCATGTTTTAACGGGAATCCATAGTAGATTTCAGAGGCAACAAATCTCATAAGAAAATATTTTTCTTTTAGAAAATGTAAACATAGTTCGAACAAAGACTTATAGCGAAGTAGCTAGCAAAAACAGAGCAGTATTAAAAAAATATTATTTGGAGCTACCACATTTATTGTGTTACGTCTCTGGTGGCGTTAATTTTTGTAGATAGGTAAGGATTACTACTTCATAAATGATTACAAGTCACGTGACCAGTAATTTTGTTTGGAACAATAATTTTATTTCCTTAAGCATAGATAGAAAAAACATATTTTCTTTGTTTTGTAAAATTATTTGTTGATCTCTTCATATTGGCTTCTATAAACATCCAAATCCAGATATTTTGAAATTAACTGCTATCAATCTTTAAAAGTCACACATGTAAATAAATTGCGTTAAATAGATATTTGGTTGCGGGTAAAATAAACAGAGCTCAAACTGCATAGTAAATATGCGCTGCTATCACTTGTCTTTCACTGCTGCATGGTAACCATTACCATTGCTGTAAACACTCTATATTTAGAGGCGAGCTACGAGAGCACAAGTATTCAGTGTTTTTCCAATGAATTTTGCAAGTCGAGTTAAACTGACTGCATAAATTACAAAGGACCCCGCAACTATCCTTATGGAAAACCGGTCCCGGTTGGATGGTACGAAACTTTGCCGAATGATAGTCCTCGATGTGTCTATCAAAAAAGTCCATGGTACCTAAGTCTGAAAAACAACTGTTCTGAAGTTATCGAATCCACGTGCTCGATAACTATCAAGTCCAATGTTTTACGGGCAAGTAAATGCAAATAATTCTTTATAAAGTGACCAAGCTGGCTGTTTTTTATGTATTTTCGTGTGCTGAATGCGAATCCGTGGTCAAAATAGCTTACTGTGTCATCCTTCAGTCTTCAGAAAATCGGTGAAGCACCTACTGAAGAACAGCTATAGCGACACGTACTGCTTGAGCGACATCTTATGTTTTTACGCATGCTGAACACTTATCCGTCATCTGCATATCTGCTGATGACAGATAAACCAAACACCCAGCTTGGTCACTTTGTAAAGAAATATTTGCTTTTACTCGCCCGTAAATCATTGGACTTGATGGTCATCGAGTACGTGGATTCGATAAACTCAGAAGGCTGTAGCTTCAGAACAGTAGTTTTTCAGACCTAGGTCCCATGAACTTTTTTGATCGACACATTGAAAACTATAATTCGGCAAAGTTTCGTACCATTAGACCGGGACCGGTTTTTCCATAAGGATAGTTGCGGGGTTCTTTAACATTTCCATTTTAATGTGGTTCATAAGGCTAATCTATTTAATTATCTATATTCTATACTATAAAAATTCCTAGGAGAGGACTGCGTCACAGAGCCTCCCCCCTCGCTCTAGCCGCTACTAACGAATCATTAATATTGGTGACGTCAAGATTTGGGAATTTTTTGTTACCAGTACCAGTCGCGCAATGTTGGGTTGCATAAGCTCGGGGATCACGTAGCTTGTAAACATTTATTTTTCAGTATCAATAGTGCATCAATAAAAAAATGAAATGCTCTTCTAAGATTTTTATGAAGGCCTGTAATACTTTAATGTATTTTTTTTTGGGCTACGTTAGTAAACATAACAATATTATATTTGCAAAGAAGATTTAATGAATTTACGCGAAAATATTAACAACTGATTAAATTCTATATTTATCTGCACGGTGCATTAAAATAGATAATAATAATGCACAGGAGAGTTAATCTCCGACCAGGAATTTTAACTAAAGTATTGCATTCATGCAGTGATACATGTACCTATATATAATTTAAATTATACATGACCTAACCCAACCTATTTTAATACTAGTTATTCATTTGGCAAAATTTCAGAAAATCTAGTAAACTATATTATGGTTACTGAAAGTCTATTATTTTAACCATGCACATAAGAACTGGACAATACTGATTGCAAAAAAATATAAATACTGCAAATATTTTTTTTGTGTTATAATACAGCCAAACTGGCAGAGAGTGACCTACCAATCTGCAGATACATATTATCAAAGTTATAAGAATCAATGATATTGTAGAAAACAGCTGCTCTGTGGATTAATTACTTGACTAGCATTAAGTTACACCCGCAATATTTAGTCAATCGCTAAGATCATTCGTCGGTAGAGCCATCACACATATACATTTAGTAGTAACAAAAATTCGGTCGTCTCACGTGAGGCATATTGAAAGCGAGACAATTCAGTTTGAAGTTTTGTCAGTCGCGCCTTAGCCACCTGGGCTACCCCAATTCCAGTCCGGGTATTAGTCCACAGAGTAGTTATTTTTTTACGATATCATTAATTATGTTTTTAATAGTCCAAAAAAGTGAAATATCTTTTTTTATTAAAAACAGTTGCCTGTGGAATTATACCAAGTTTTTGAATGTGACACTGTGCTTTAGATTGCAACATTAAGACATGTCATTTAAAAAATAAGAATGTAATCATTACATACATATTTTTTTTTTGATTCTACAATGTACCCGATTTAGCGTAACAATTTTTAAAAAAGGAATTTCTAAATGTATTTCAATGGTTGACACAAAAACGTATTATATTAAGCCTGGATATGCAAAATTATAATTTAATCGAAATTAAAAGGAACAAGATTAAATATTTTGGTTTTTAGAGCGCCACACTGTATTTAAATCTGCAAAACATTTTTGTACAATGTTGAAATTAAGTCTTTAAATGCATTTCTTTACTGCTGTTGAAATGTTCATGAAAGGACTATATAGTCACATAATTTGCCGCTATTTACAAATTTCATTAAGTACGTAAAGTCAAAAACCTTAAAGCCGGCTCTGAACTAATTACATTATTCGATTGAACTAAAACTCTGTGTTAAAGTAACCAACGAGTCGAATGGTAGAGACACATTGATTGCACCTTTTCCCCTTTTGCTCTTAGGTTTAGGTACGAACTAAATTTATATCAAATCCCAATTTACGCGACAATCGTGAACATTACACGCCTGTGTGGGTCAACGGGATGTCTGTTATTTAATCTGTTGCATTTATTGCCAATACATCTAGTACAGCAGGAACTTTGTGGGGCCATTATTGATCAGTTTCCAACAGGGCAACCAGACGTGGATAGAGACTTCACTGAAAATGTTCTACTAGATATAATAACGAATTCATCGAAAACCACATTGATAATAGGAATATTCTTTTTTTTTCTCTTTTCAAGTTTTCAGTAGTTGTAGTTATATATTTTGTTTAAAAATATGAAACAAATTTGATAATAATCTAAAAAGTATATATTTAGGAAAATGCTGCCAAATGTCATTGGTATTTTTAAAAATTTAAGCTGACTTTGTTCTTAATTTTTATTTCTGCACGTAGGTATATACAATATGTTCCATTTTAAACTACACCACACTCGTATTTTAGTACAAAATATTTGATGATTCACCATACATGGTGGTTTTTATCCCGATTTCATGGACTATTGTTTTTAAAAATTTTGCGAAAAATTTTTCAAAACGTATTAGTCATTTGCTAAACTAAATTATCATTTCAACGTACCATACAGAGTGTTAGCTTTAGTATGCACAACTTCTTAAATGCAATACGTATTTGGAAGACCCTATCTG